AAATCGATTACTCTTAATCATAATTTTGTTAGATGGTGCAAAGTTAGCCGGGTTAGCTAGTTTTACCAACTAAAACTTCAGACCTTTGAAAAAACAACTGAATAGCTGCTCAAGTATCCAATAAGTGAAGAAGCCATATAATGATCTTCGACTACATAAATAGCAGCAGTAAACGACTTTAAATACTCGTTTTTCATTTAATTGCACTTCAAAGTCGTACAGAATCGTATCATGCACATATATACATGAGAAGTATGTGCTGATTTGTTTCATTTATCCAACACAGCCCAACAGGATATCAGTGACTGTTGAGGAGTTCCACTCAAGGACACTTAATGGGTACTTAAATACATTCGTGTATTTTACGCACGAACGGACACGTCATCGCGTTGACGAGAGAGTGTGACCTTTTAGAAAAGCAACATGAAAAGGGCTGAAGTGTGTACGTATGACGAAAGAGTGAAGTACAAACGCATATACACCTACTCAATCATAGTAGACGTGTGGTGTGGAGAGAAGTTGAAAGATTAGCAATAAAGAGATATAAAATGTAGAAATGTATAAGTATATGTATTAAATGCCCAAAACTTGTTTGACTACAAGAACAATAAATTCCTACACGTCATATTTCGCACGACCAAGATTTAACCAGGACAGTGACTTGCCATTGCCCGATTCAACAACACAAATCCCTCACTAGTTGTATAAGTGTATCCTTCCTACCTTTCACTCTTTGTTGATATGTATCATTAAATTCGACTGCTATCGATTTCGCTAATCTGTGTTAATGACAATTTAATTGCTTACAATGGTAGGCGATATTTAACTTTATCGATCTTTGTTTATGTTTATTACGTGTGACTTCAAACTGATACTTCAACACCACCCGAGGCGGCATTAGCTGACGTTCGTAATACTAGACAAGTTCTAAGCGCTGTGACATGTAGACATGACTGCTAACAATATCGTAAAAGTAATCACCTGAACGGACATAAAAGTGAAAGCGGTAATCTTTTAACAAGGAAGTAAAAATTATGGTTAGGACTACAAATGATTGGGTCGATGGTTGAACGTATGCTGGTATTTGCATGTAAACAAAGCAAATAGCAGGTAGTTAACAGTTTGTGAAAGTAGTTGGACAACATTACGAAAGTAATGAAATGATAAAATATCTTTTGGAGTGAGCAAGAATGAGTTTTATTTCACAATGTCATAATGATGAAAAAATTCGTAGATAAATAAAATATACAACAGGGTATTAGTCAGCGCTTATTGTATGAATCTGTAATTTGTCATAGACTTTGGTAAGACTTTCTTTAAGGTGATAGTTAGAAGATGCCATGCTTCCTTATTTTCAAGACCCAATTTTTCAATAAACCCGATTACATATATGTAGTCAAAACATTTATTAGAGCATATAAAAAATAAATCCCACTAAAATCACGAGTCCTTTATACTTACGTACTTCCATACATACAGATATTAGATGTTATTCGTCAAGATATTTTAAGATTTCGCAATTTACTTTTACGAAAACAGTACATTGTAATGTGGCGATGACGATCTACGAAGGACCTTCAGTCACATTAATAAAAAACTTTACAGACTTTTCCGAACAACAGCAAAATGTCGCGAATCAATGCAGTTTTTACAATATTTAGTAAATATAATATTTTAATATAATCACCCAAATTACTATCATTATTATTTATAGCGTTTTCTTTTCTAACAAAAATGTTGCATTTATTCTGTCCTATGGCCAGCTGCAAAAGTTGCGTGTTCTTTTCTCAGAATGTTGCCCGAAAAAAGTGTAACATTTTCTGGCCTTCTGGCCTTTTTGGTAGTTTTTTTTTAATTAAATTTTTTTGATAATTATAATGAATCGATCATTTTTGTTAAGATCAATAATATATATTGCAAATGACTTGTTTGGCATTTTTTTGTAATTTTGTTGTGTAAAAAATGGAACACTTATGTATATAATGTTGTCATATAATGAGGCAACACTTTCATCGAAAAAAGAAAACGCGAATAGTATTTGAAAATCTATTATTCATACAGATTATTGTAAGCTTTCGAAAACCCATTGTCAAAGAAAGAAAGGTACTTCATTATACTTGTAGGTAAAATTATCGGATGTATATTTCGCAATATTCATTCTGGATAATAAATCATACTATCAAGCCGTGTGCAAAAAAGTCCAATCACCCATGCTATAGTTATAAGTCGAAAAAATTAGGTAGTTATTAAGATTTTTTGTAGAAGTATATATATTTATATACATCAAAAGACGTTTTATATAAAATCCAAGCCACATATTCATAGAGTACAATGTAGTATGAGCGTCACAGAATGTAAGAGTACAGTAAAGGACAAAACTCTTTACGAAAATACTAATTTTTCTCCTTAAGCTTTGAAACATTATTAGACTCTATACATCATTATAAATAAAATCCATTTAAGAGGGTGTTAATCTTTTTTAATTTATAAAGTTAAAGTTAATTAATTAAAAATATTCAATTTTAAAATTATCTAAGTTCGGGTAATAACACGTAAATTATTTGTGTGACCACCATACGACTTTTTACTGCTTGAATACTTGTATTCTTTGGCATACAGTTTGTGTGATTCTCAAATATATTTGGGCTACATTTTGCTATGCCAATAGGGCCCGCCGCCATAATTCTGGCCAATTCACATAGAACTTTTGTTTCGCTTTGCGTCATACATTTGTTTTGACAGAAAATTTCGATATGTGTTTGTGTACGTTTCCATAAAAAGTTTTCGACGCGAAGCCAAGCAAAGTGGTGGGCAATTCTGATCTTTTTAAGCTTTGCCAAACAACAGTAGCCATTTTAATTACATAGAATAAAACACTTAAAGCAGAGCGTTCATTGTGGCATTCCGTTTGTTTTTTGTGCTTCGTTGTTTCGGTATGAACTGTCACACAAAGCGAGGAAAGTTGGGGTAGGACATTTCAGTTTTGGAGCTTCCTTTTCGGCAAAAATGTTCCGATTTAAATGGTGCTCAATCGGGATCAAATCTGAGGACTGTCGAACCTAACGGTGCTCATCACTTAAGAACGGTTTTTTACGATTGCTCTAGCCTTGAGCCCGCTATTTTTCAGGCAACTTCGTACTGTTTTGTCACTGACATTGACTCCACGGACCTCTCTAATGACTTTATTAGTTTCCACAGCGGTATTTCTTGCCCCTGCCAATTCGTGCTACAGGGCAACTTCTGTGGACAGCCTCCACTCTTTCGTGGTACAGTTTTTTGCGACTCTCGGCAAGAAACACAATTTTTTTTATCTTCCAGCACGTTTTTCTTTAAAGCATTACGGATTGTGCCATTATAAAGCAACTTAAAAGTATAAAACTACTGTAATAAAATTTTTTTGGGTTATAAATAAAATAAAACAAGTAAGGAAGGGCTAAGTTCGGATGTAACCGAACATTTTATACTCTCGCTAAGTCAAATAGTATACTCGTTTGAGATTTCTTTGTGGATTGGCTGATATTTTCGGTAGAAGGTCAACTATAGGCACTGGTGTCCACATATTTAGTACTTAGGGGCTTGAACAGTTTTGGTTCGATTTAGACAATTTTTGGTCACAAGGTGGCATACATTAAACGTATTATTCACGCAAAGTTTTACCCCGATATAATCATTGTTGCTTGATATGCATAGTGGAAAGTGAAAGAATCAGATGGAATTGAAAATGTGTTATATGGGAAATAGGCGTGGTTGTAATCTGATTTCGCCCATTTTCGCACTATAACATAAGAAAATGAAAAGAACGTTATATACCGAATTTTATTCAAGTTGGTCAAGCAGATCTCAAGATATGGGTTTTCACCTAAAAGTGGGCTGTGCCAAGCCTACTGTCTAATTTTGAACGCGGTTCCTATAAAGTCAGAGATAAAATTTAATGTCTCTGGCGTGTTTAGTGCTTGATTTATCGGGCTTTTAGTAGTTTTTAACAGTACAAACTGTTAACACTAATCGCTTCAAGCAATAAATGTTCAATTTGAACCATGCTTTGATCGAAAAACGACCAGAATGGGCCAGAAGACACGGCAACGTAATTTGGTACACGACAATGAACCTGCACACAAAGCAAATTCGGTTCAAGATTTGTATCAAAGTACTTGGCTGGGAGCAGCTATCCGCCGTATTCACCAGACTTGGCACCTTCCGATTACCATTTGCTTTCATCGATGAGACACGCATTGGCTGAGTAGCATTCGATTTCAACGCAGAATTCGAAAATTGGGTGTCTGATTGGTTTGTTTTAAAAGACGAACATTTCTATTGACATGGTATCCACAAATTACCAGAAAGGTGGTCAAAATGTGTAAAAAGCAATAGTTAAATAATTTTTTTTTTACTTCCCCATTCGAAATTAGTGTTTCATTTTAACCGCTCATTTAATACTCAGTGTTATACTTGTACTAAAATGCTTACCTTGTTTTATAAGACGCCTGGTTTTGAGAAATGTTTAACCGTAATTATGTTTTCAGTATTATGAAATCTTGATTATAGAGTCGTTGGACACTTTAGCTCAATTTCTTTTAAAGTCCTCATTACCTCGATGTCAATAAACTCATGCCGATATTATTTGATCATTTCTTTGCCATGGTTCTCCCAAAGCTTGAGTGATATGGAAGTCGACAAGCTTATTTATTAAAATGGTTATAATAATAGTTATGTCGACAAACACTTGTTGTTTGTTTTTAGCTTATATTGTATTGTATTATATTATCTTAAAAAATTCTTAAGTAATTTGATAAAATCCTCTTTAATATATGAATAACAGCACAAGCCTCTGAAACTGGCCAAACGTAAATCTCTACAATGCCACCAGCTTAGCTTCGCTTATCTCTACGCTAACTTAGGCTCCAAATGAGATATCAACGATACCGAAACTATAGCATATAATCATAGCAATTAAAGTAATTAGGGATTATTGAATTTTTCTGCATTTTCCATATGAATATATAATGTTTTAGTGCTTTGAAGCTATCGCTTTATACTCGGATATCTCTCGTACATGTACATAGATGTGTATATATATATGTAACTAATACGTATATATGTATCTAAAATTCAATTATGCAACAACAGTTTTTCAAACAACATAAAGCCACGACATATTGCCTCTTTGAGCCGTATACTATAAAAGCAATAACAAATTCAACCACTCATAAACACAAGCAGTCAGTATCTACTCGTATTGAGTAGCAATAACGGCAATAGTCTGAGCATTTACGACATTAATAGAATGAATATATACATACATATATACAAGCACACACGTAGACAAATAAAGGCATCGATATTAAATGTATATTAACAATTTATGTTCAATTAAGTGAAATTTATGATTTTTGACGAGTAGGACAGCGCGTGCCGACTGGCACGAGTAAATGACCACTTGACTGTCTAAATTGGTCAGGTCACTAGCTTCAAAGGCTGTATGGTTCGTTAGCCGTGCGGCAATGGAATAAAAATTTATGTGTGTTCGGCAGCATTTCGTGGCAATGACCATTTAACTGAGCGGTTAACCGCCAACAACAGTGTAAGAGGGCTGTATTTGCGAGAGCGTGGGTAAGTGGGTGCGTGTGTGAGTGTTGAAAGGGTAGCATGATGCGTGGAGACGCAAAAAGAACTTAGCTATTACTGGTAGGGGTTGCCAACAATTCAGCGACGTCCGCCATCCGCCATCCGCCAACCGATGTTCTAATGACGATTAATTGCGAGGGTTGAACCGACGAAATACAGCAGAAGGGAATGCGACGACGAGCGTCCGTGTAGGAGCAGTGGCATCCGGGAGCATATTTGTAGAAAGTACGGTTGTTGCATTCGTAGGCTACAAGCAAGGAACAAGCTACAAAGCGTGTGACCGCAAAGATGAAAAAGGTTGTGGACGAAAGCGGGCGAGCAAAATGCGCGAGTGCCAGCAATGTCACTATGCAATGCAAGCTGACGCTGGGGAATTTATATGGCGAACAATGCTGATGCCGCTAAATTGCGATTCACATTCATGAATTTATGCACCATAATTTGCATAGCTGATGCTAATTTTGTTGTTGCTGACATTCGTAGATATTGATTTTATGGCGCGAGTTAGCAGCTGCCTGGCAGAACGCTTTGTAAGGCGTGTGGCATAATTAATCTCAGCTCGGCGTAAAGGCTACAGAATTTATGGATGCAACCTACCAGCACTACTATATACGAGGGAGGCCCAAAAACTATAATATACAAAAGAAAATTTTTTAAATTTTGCGAATTATTTCTTAACATAGTCAACTATCAACTATATCCACAATTTCTTTAACTCATCTAAAGAATACATTTTCTGGAGGTCGTTTCATCTTATACGTTTCATCTTATTCGTTCCCTCTTATTCTGAAATTTGTACCCGGTGATTGATTTTTAAGTTTGAAAATAGAACGAAGTGTTACGGACCCAATTCAGGAGACGGTGGATATGGCAACGGTTCGTAGTCTATTTTTGCCACTTCAGCTGTGGCAAGGCGGAGGTGTGAACCAACACATTACAATTTGTTCTGCCACAAATGCTGCAATTTTTCTGCAGTTCGGCGTCAAATCAACCTAATAATCCGGACTAGGTAGGCCTTTTCTTAGATTGATGTGGAGCAGATCTTGTGAATTCCATAAACCGTTGGATATCACATCTCAAGTTGATTAGGGATAGTCATCATCTGCTTCGTGGGAGGTTTTCAAGTGAAGTCAACTGTTTCAAATGTTCCGTGGTCCTTAGTGTGTACTATTGGATCCAAATTTTGTCGTCGGTCATGAAACAAATCGCTTGTGCTTAAACAGAATAAAACACTCTGAAAAGAGAAATAAGGTAAATATCATAATCATACCGATATTGATCACCACCGCATGATGTTATCAGATCATCGGAGTCATCGGAGCGCCCTCCTAAACATCTTATCATACGAACATGCATACATTACATCTTTATTGAAGAAACTGAATTTCTCACCGTGACAAGACGTTTCGCCATTGAAGATTTGCACAAGCGGAAAGGTTGATACATCGTATAACTGTTTATATCGGGTGTTCTTTTTCGAGGTGTAGAACTTTAAGTTGGCATTACTGTTCGAAATGGCCAACATTGAAATACACGTTTGGTGACCGCCTAATTTTACGTTTTGGACCTGTGAATTAGCCTGCGAGATATTGTGATTTAACACCGCTAGATTACTTTCTGTGGGGTTATGTAAAGTCATTGGTCTATGCGTATAAGCTACAAACGCTTATCCATTTGGAAGACAACATTCGCCTTGTTATTGGCGATATGCGGCCACGAATGTTGGAAAAAGTCATCGAAAATCGGACGTCCAAATTGGACTACATTGAAGCCAGCCATGGCATGTCAATCGAATAATCCATCGTTGTTTTATTGCAATTTAAAGTTCTATACTTCTAAAAAAACACCCTTTATATATGATATATATTTAATTTTTCGGCATTAGTCATAAAAGTTGGATGGTAAAAATTTATTTCTACACACATACAAAGAAATCCATTTATACAAATACCAGTGATTAATTAATTATATGTTTTATCATACAAATGCTCATGCTCTTCCTCTTCAGCGCGCACATATTTGTATTTGGGTTCATGTTTAAGCGATTTGTCGTCAGACCTTTTAATTTTCACCCTGCCTGCCCTTCGCTCGCTGCTGTGCTTCTCGAATACCACGACTTATTATATGCAATAATTAAATTTCTTTTTTTATTACAAAGTGATTATTAATAACAAATGTGCACTACAACTTAATAAGAGTACTTAAGTACACATAAGCAGACGAACCTACATACAATTATGTTTATTATACAATTAAGTAAGTACTTACCAAAGGACATCATCGAGTGAAATTAATTGTTGCTTCTCAATAAGCAAATGTAGCAGGACTAATTTATTCACAAATTTGTTATTGTGCCACAACACAAGCACACGCATACAACCACCTACACATATTCATATATATATGTATATGTGCATGTGACATGATGTATTAATTATACGGACATGTGTTAGTGGAAAAGGTGTGTCAGTATACGTGTGGGTCTGCAAGCCAGCAAAAGAGAGCAGAAACATGAGTTGTGAACAGCATCATCAGCAGCAATGGCATACACATCATCAACAACATTATCATAGTCGACCGTATCAGAGCGGACAACAACAGTTACAAAAGCCAAAATGCGCACATCAACAGTATAGTCAATATCAAGAACATCAGCAACAACACCTAAGTTGTTACACACACCAGCCGTATCACCATTATCAGCTATGGTTTATTATATCTGCGATATTGTTCTTAATCGGTGAGTAAATTGTTATTATTCGTTAAAAAAAAGTGTGATTAATTATTAAAATTCCATTAATATGGGTATAACTAATTAACATTAAATACAAAATGAGACATAAATCAGTAAGCAGTAATACGAAAAACAAGAAGAGGAAAGAATTGTGGTGATGAAACAACCAAAACTGCAGGACATTGATTGCAATTAGAAACAAAAAAAACGTTAAATTCGGTTGCACCGAAGCTATAATACCCTTGACAGATACAAAGGTTACTTACAAGAAATAATTTCGATCTAATTTCGTGAAGATACCTCGGCAATAAAAACCTTTTCCAAGCAAGCACTTTACTCCGATCGTTCAGTTAATATGGCAGCGATATATTATAGTCATTTGATATATACAACTTCTTCGGAGATTGCATTATTGCCTTAAATAATAATCTATGCCAATTTCCGTGAAGATATCTCGTCAAATAAAAAAGTTTTTCCTTTATACAAGCACTTGATTCCAAATGGCAGCTATAGGCTGTAGGGGTCCGATATCGGCCGTTCGGACAAATGAGCAGCTTCTTAGTGAAGAAAGGACAGGTGCAAAATTTTATATCGATAGCTTAAAAACTGAGGGACTAGTTCGCGTATATACAGACGGACGAACAGACGGACAGACAGACGGACATCATCAGGCTGATCATTTATGTATATATTTTATAGGGTCTCCGACGTTTCTTTCTTGGTATTACAAACTTCGTGGCACACTTAATATACCCTGTTCAGGGAATAATTAGTGGGACAATTATATTATAAATTTCTTTACACATATACATTTAATTAAGCTTTATAATTTATAGTTATTTATAACAAGAATTTATGATTGGTAATTGAAGATCTTACTATTTCAGAGTACTAGAAGCTTGACCACTTTTCAGCAATTGATTACTTCAGATGGTCCTATTTTTGACTGTAAAGGTTCGAACTAAGAGCTTGGTGATAGGGAAAGAGCTCATAGTAGATGATCCCCTACTAATTTCACCAATCATACAGTAGACCCTTCCCGACAGTTAATATTGTCTTGTTCACCGTTTGAGCCGTCTCACTGTGACGAGAACACGCCCGTTTTCACTTGACCCACTTTTTATCACCAGTAACCATCCTCTCGATATAGCCGATATTCGCAGATTGACTTTCGGTTCATTATACTCGTGTAGCATACATGCATCGAGCTCTTTTTCTATTCAGCCTTATTTGGCGATCCAATCGAAGCAAGGCTTACATGACGATCGGACTAGACGATTTATATTATTTTATCGGTAATTGGCATTCCAAATCGTGGTGCGTCTTTGACATCAAATTACCCGACCGGAATCGACGAAAACAAAATTGCGCATGGTTGTCTGCTTCAGTATTAGGACAATAAAGACTATGTATTAACATATTCATATTCATAATAACTAAGTTCGCCATTATAAATTCAGTGATAATTTTTACAACGTGAAAGTACTCATTTTATATATAATTATATATAAAAATATAATATATTATTTCAAAATAAGAATAACAATATCCATAATGGAATCTTCATTTCTCTACTCGCTATTCTTAGCCCCTACTTTCTAAGCCAAAATGAATTGTTAACGGAAGAGTGAAGAAGTTTGGTTTATATATTTTATACAGTTAGGCTATTATAAATGGCTCAAGCGACAAATTGCTGTCAAAATTAAATATTTGTTATATTAAAAACTTAATTAATGTACGATTTTTATTGAATACATAAGGTATGCTTGAAACCTGTGGTAATACTATCACATATTTGGTGAAAAGTCCTTGCCTAATTCCTATTAATGTAAGTCATATCATTCACGAATTACAAACTACTAATAAAGGAATATCTTACTTCTTCCAGTGTGAGAAAATCTCAAAATTTGCATTACTTACAAAATTTTGCATTGTTATATTAAAACAAGAAGTAAACAAGTAAGGAAGAGCTCAATTCTCAATTGTATTAAAATAACTAGTTTATTGGACGATATATGTGGTATAAAGTCAACTGGAAGTTCGAAAATCTTTATATTAGGTTTTTGGGGGCTAAGGTAAGTATTGATCCGATTCAACACAGACAAGGATATATTATTATCAAGAAAACATTTTTCAATTATATATCTCACATTGATTGATATTTTCAGTATCTGGGGTCTTGAATAGTTTTGACAATTTTTAGACCGGAGATGGCACACCTTAAAGGAAATATTTTTATTATTTTTCGATATATTAATTAGTGCTTGATTTGTAAACTGGAAAGTTGAAAAATCATATGAAATTATAGTTGTGTAGTATGAAAAGTAGGTGTGGTTACTGTCTGATTTTGTTAATTTTCGCACTGTAAAATTGGAATTTCAAAGTAAACTTATGTATCAAATTTAGTTGGCGTATGAAGCCTGCGCCTGTCAGCTCAGGTGTAAAACTTTATACCTCTGGCGCATTTATTTCACTTTTAGTAGGTTTTAACAAAACTGTTAAATGGTTAGTGGGCGCGGTTATCATCGGATTTCACGATTTTTATACTGTCCCAAGAGGTGTCGAAATGATATGACCTGTGCAAATTGGGGTGATATAGCTTGAATAGTTTGGGAAAAGTATACATAAAACCTATTATAGTGGGGGGCCACAGGCACTTTAAAAAAATTCAAACCACAGGTGATCTTCATTATTACGATGCGTTGTACCAAATTTGAGTTCTGTATCTTAATTTACGGCTTACGTTTCTAATTAATGACGTTTAGTGGGCATGTCGGTGGTCCGTACATCCATATCTGCGAACTCGTTTTATTAAGATATCTAAATGGACAGACGGACAGAGTGACTCTTACCCAGATTTCAACTCGTCTCAACATCCTGATCATTCATATTTACTTGTATAACCCTATAGAGATAGGGTAGTTACGATAATTTTTGAATGATACAAATAACCTTTAGGTGAACAAAACTATTATGCTCTGTAGCAGCATATTGCAAAAGTATAAAAACATTATTGGGTATTAAAATTGAAATACCCAATACTTATAATGATTAAACCTTTTACCGATTTTATGGTGTATTAAAACAGCAAGATTTTGAATTTTTAGTAATAATTTAATATAATTTTGTAAGGGGAATTAGTTTCCCTATGATACAGATCACAAAACTGTTCATCAGATACGCTTATATTAGGCATTTCCTTCTATTTTTATTGGTTTACTTTACTACTTCGTCCTAACAACAATCCGGCACTGATCAAACGCAATAAAAAACTTTCTCCTTTCACAGATTTCGAAAGCTTTAAAAAAAATGCCGCTTTATGGAATACATCATAACGTCAATATTTTGGTATCTAATCGCAAAATGTAATTTCCGTAACGTAAGGTCGTAACTTGCATTTTCAATTCCATTTCCAAGGATCCTCAAATATCCCTTCATGTGCTAACCTAAAACTATGCTGACTTGGGTGATATAACAAACCTCATAAGGTTTAATCCAATATTAGAAATACAGCGATAAATAATTAACAATATCAAGGTAAACTAAAATAGTACGAAAAAGCTTGCAAATCTACTACGTCATCTACATACTTAAAAAAGTTATAATTAATGCATTTGCATCACCATTTAAAGAATCTCATAATTTTTCACGATTCGCACTTGGCTTAGCCAAACAAAGACGCTCTAGTCGAGAGTAAAATATTATATAATATGTGAATATCATAATATGAACATACAACGAGCACACAATAACAAATTAACTAATTGCATTAACGACTCAAATCTGCAGTACACAAAAAAATATTGCTGAACAAGCAAATATAAACACAAATACAAAATACAAAAAAAGCAAAAAAAAAAAAAAATCATGAATGAGCCAACAAGCGAATCAGCTACGAAATTTCGCAGCGTCGCAAGCACGTACGCACATATTAATGGATAAAAGAGGCACTGAAGTTCCGCTTTCCACGCGTAACTCAAACAACGTACAAATAAATAAGACATATACGCTGGCAAGGAAGAGGACACACCAAAGTGTATTTACATATAAGCGCACACACACATACATGCAACTGTTTATGCATGTAGGAGGACCCAGGCATGTTTGATAATAAATATGCGTTCGTATACGTTCCACTGGAGTGCTGGTAAATAATTAATGTCAAAATAATTTAGTTACAATGATTTTCGCTCAAAGCATACCAAAAGAGTTTCTTAAGTAAACAAACAAGCTAGCAGGAGAATGCGAGACCTCGAAGAGACACATGCACATTTGGCAGCGAGTGCGTACACAGAAGCTTACAAATAAATTTTATATGCTGAAATACATACATATATAAACATATATCCATGATGTACAATGCGTTTGCTGGTTGAGCAGGCAAAGAACAGATTTCGCATACGTGTTTTTATTTTCCTCTTTATCTTTACATTAAATACACACATAATTATAGAGCAGCACAAAAATGATACGAACACATTTTGTGCTACCAAGTATGCCAACATATTTGCTGATTACGAGGATAAATACTAAGGGTTACGTATACGCCATGCAGGCACTATGTTTTCACGTGCATGTGTGTCGTGTGACAGAATCAAGAAAAGACAAAGATTGCCATAAAACATTTCAGCGATGCTTTTTAAAAATAACAGAGTCTGCTTGACAACAATAACAAAGTCGCATTATCGAATCGGCTGCAATGTAGTCCAGCATGTACATGTACACACACGCATGTGACACAAAAATACTTGAGAGGTGCTGGTAGGCTGATAAGCGTTCTGCCGTTTAAGCGTAATGAGCAGACACGAAATCGGAAAACGTAGTATACAGCAGACAAACGGGCATAAGATCAACGTAAACCGTAAGCCGTCAGAGACGCGCACCAGTGTGGCATACAAATTACCCTATTAATAAGCATCCATTAAGTTTGGTGCCCCACAGCCGCTACCGCTGGTTAGCTGTTTAGCGAGTTTAGTGTGCTTTCGTCGACGAACTACTGATTGCTA